TATATATTCCACCTCAAAGGACACAAGACAATCAGCTGGAGGAGGAGGAAATGCCCAATGACGATGCAGTGGCTCAGGACTCTGACAACCTTTATGGGACCACCGTCTTCTCTTTCTCTGACATCAAACAGCAGTAATATTTCTACTTGCACTCTTTAGTGTTCGTCCATAGAACATCAGTTTGTTTTTATGTCTTAGGTCTACTAATGAATTAAAAATGTTTTCTTACACCAGTGAAGTTGACTCAGACGTTCACAAGAGTGATGCCATTAAAGGTGAGTCCTGTTTAAAGAGTCATCTGATTCTTGTCTCCACATGCTGTCATTTTAGTCACCTGTTAATCTGTATTTATAATCCTTGATACAGGTGTACCTTACCGACCACCACAGCGTCCATTCATAGTGTCACGCTGGCGTCAGTTCTGGTTTGCACCGGTCACCTCCTTTTTGGGCAACGTCCTGATGTACTTCCTGTTTCTCTTGCTTTTCGCCTACGTGCTGTTGGTGGATTTTGATCCCCCACCACCCTCAGGCCCAGGTGTTGCTGAGTGTGTGTTGTACTTCTGGGTATTCACCATCGTTTGTGAGGAGATCCGACAGGTGAGTGAAGAGAGACATCTTACTTAGAACTTTATTATTTTTATTTATGAATGTAATAACTATCCCCAAATATAATATATAATGAACTATCCCCAACGTGCCATTGCGACACAGTGGTTACATGCTCCTGTGTCAAAAGCCTTAGATTCAAGATTGACATTAAAATAAATAAGCAAATTTTTTTTTTTATTCGTCACTGATTTTATGTGATTAAGCAAACACTAAAAAAAAACAAAATCACAAATTAAAATCTTATCCTGTCAGATTTTACTCACTTTTCTGAAATAATAGTAACAGTAAATGGAAAGTGCGCGTCTGTATTTGGATACATGTCACCTAGGTATAGTTGAGTTTTATTTGTTGTTTTTTATGGATCTGTAAAGTCATTTGTCTTCTTCATCAAGACCATTTTTTTGGGGACGATGACTTGGCGTCAAAGGTTCAGACTCTACATTAAGGATCTGTGGAATAAATGTGACCTCACTGCCATCAGCCTGTTCATTATAGGACTAATCTGCAGGTATGGACAAGAAATAAAAAATAATAGAAATGATCAATTCTAATTTTTTTTTCTACAGTAATATTTTTGAATGAGGCTTTGTCATTGCAGATTGTAACATTTGTAAAAACATTGTCCTTGGTTCATATTTGGATGTCTTAAGTGTTCTATAAAATAATTTTCATTTCCGGGTCTTTAGTTAATTTGCAGCTTTGCCACCAGGTGGTGCTGCTTTCACACTGATTCAGCTTTACTGTGCTTGTGTTTCAGGATGTTCCACTGGTCATATGAATTTGGACGGGATGTCCTGTGTTTGGACTACATGGTCTTCACACTTCGCCTCATTCACATTTTTGCCATTCACAAGCAGCTGGGACCAAAAATCATCATTGTAGGAAAGATGGTGAGAAAGTTACCATCAGTTGGCAATATACCAATTATAGACTTTTAATAATATAATGTCAGAAACAAAATGACAATTTCCTCCTCCTGTTCAGATGAAGGATGTCTTCTTCTTCCTCTTCTTCCTGGGTGTATGGCTCATGGCGTATGGAGTTGCCAATCAGGCTCTGATCTATTCCTATGATCCAAACCTGAATCGCATTTTTCGGAGAGTTTTCTACAGGCCATACTTGCACATCTTTGGACAGATCCCCGTGGAAGAGATGGATGGTACAAGTGTTTGTGCAAGTGGCATAAAAATAAGAAAATTGAATGCTACTGTAAAACTTTCTTAACTTTCTCCTTTATGTCTGTTTTGTTGCAGTGGGCAAGAACTGGGATGTCAACTGTACACACAATGTGACTTTGATTGAGAGCGGTGAAGAGCCGTGTAGAACTCATGAGAGTAACTGGCTGGTAGTGATTCTGCTAGTCGTATATCTCCTGGTCACCAACATCCTGCTCATCAACCTGCTTATTGCCATGTTTAGGTAAAGAACCAGTCTGTCATTATGTTTCTCTGGCTGCATTCACAAACTGAATGGTTTGACTCAGTGGCTCTGATCTGCTTGTATCCACACAGCTACACTTTCTCTAAAGTGCAGGAACACAGTGACACCTACTGGAAGTTCCAGCGTTACAACCTGATTGTTGAGTACCACTCCCGTCCTTCTTTGGCTCCTCCTTTCATTATCCTCTCACACATCAACCTCTTTATTAAGAGGGTCATCCGCAAAGTGCCCTCTGTAAAGATCCACCACTTTGGTTAGTATTGGATCAGAAGTCGTGGGTTTTATTAATATAATAAAAATAATTAATACTGCTAATGTATTAAAGTTATTGTCCATTACACATGCTGAATCAGGAAGCCTCAGTTCCATAGTTCTATTATCTTTGAGTTTTTTAATCAGTGACTGTATTATTATTTTTTAATTGTTTTTATTTTAGTTGCTTACTTAAAATGGAAGCATCTAAATAATTTTCTTGCTCACTGACCTCAGTTCAGCAGTGATGAAAGCATGAAAAGTGAGTTGAAAGGTAATCATTTCAACCCTTGGTCTGTACTATCAGTGTTAGACTTGGAAGCAAAGGCAGCGAACAGATTATCAACATGGGAAACGATTCAGAAGGAAGACTTCCTGACTGCTCGAAACAAGATCCAGAAAAGCAGCGACTCAGAAAGGCTCAAACGGATGTCTGCCAAGTGAGCACACCTTCATCCTCCACTGTAGCAGCAATATTTATTACTGTGTGACTCCATCATTCTGAAGTAAATGTATCTTTGTTTATATAGGGTAGATGGTGTGCTTAAACATCTGAGTGAAAGCAGAGACTTCGAACACAGGCTACGGTCTCTGGAGAATCAGGTAAAACCGTAGCTCCAACTTATCATTTTGTACCATTTGAGTCATTCATGATACATATGTGGAGCTGCTGTGAAAGAGCACATTGGTTCAGCCAGTTCAGTATTCTACATAAAGGTTAAAGCATTGAATTGCAGACTTGTTTTGACTGGTATAATAACAGGATGGTAGAATATAGGGAAAACACCTACTATTTAGTACAAAGACAGTTTTATTTGGATTTAGTGTGGCTGATCTTAAGCAACTCTGTAGTAAGCAATTTTATGTTTTGGAGAAAAGCAAGAAGTACTGATTATGGGAAAAAGCTGTTATGTCACTCAGAATGTTTTTAAGCATAGCTTAAGATTAGGATACGTCAGAGCCAACAATTCATGAATTGACTACATCACTGTGGTCTTTTTAAAATGAGATTTTTTAAATTTTTTTTTAGTCACTAGGTGGAGCTAGCCTAACTGTATTTAATTTGCTTCCAGTCTTTATATCTTCCTGACAACTGAAGAAAAAAGAATCTTACCATTGAACTTTTTTTGTGATTTCCTACCTCTTTGGAACTAAAAGATACCACACAAACACATGAGATATCAATGGGAAGCCCAGGACGTTCTCTATTCAGTACATCAAGACTTAATACCGTAGCTCAAATAAGCCAAAAGCTATAGACCAAAAACAAATGCCTATTAGAGAGGACATAAATGAATAGGGTGGTTCTCAGGAAGATGTGATAAGCTGGGCTGGACAAGTGTTTAACGGGTGGATATGAGTGGTATCCAAGTCAGACATTTTTTTAAAAATTTTTTTTTTTTTTTTAAATGGTCTGTCTTTGATTAAGAAGTTTCCTGTTTTAAAAATATTTTGTCCTATGGAGGGCAATAAAGTAACGTCCACCTTAAAAAGTAATCTTACTCTCTATGTAGTAAAAGTGTTAAAGTACTGCTTTAAGTGTCTTACTGCATAATATTTAATTAACAGTAAATAATCTGTCTTTAGAATTTTTATAGACACAAAGTTAAGACATGGAGTGAACAGACAACCTGAACACATCTATAAAGAAAACAGTCCTCCTTTTTTTCAGGTGCTTTTCATTGAGGTTTAAGAATGAATCTTTTCTAATATATAGTTTCATGACCTTCTGCTTTTTCTTCTCAGATGGAGTATTGCTCCAGTGCACTCAGCTGGGTTGTGGATACTTTATCACAAGGAAGCACATTTAAACCTCCTCGACCTCCACCATTACGAGGTATTTACTAGCAGTTATGAAATCATGCTTGCATAACAGCCTGCATGTTGAAAAGCCACTCTTCATTTACATAGCTTGCTTCACTACTAAGTGGCTGTAGCTCAAGTGGTAGAGCAGGTAATCTGCTAACCACAAGACTGGTAGTCCGATCCAGGGCCGTGCAGAGATGTTTAAAGGGGTGGGTGCTCGAAGTTAAAAAGGGGCATATAGAAGCAGGCTGAAGAACAAGAACCCACATTCATCAAGAATCTAAAATGGAATCGCATCATACTATATCACTGTCATCAGGTGGGGACAATAGAGAGCAATCGTAGCCTATGTTTCACCTGATGGGTACAGTGTTGCTGTTGAGGGGTTGCTGCTGATAGTGCTGGAGGGCAGGGCTGTGTTGATCTGAGACTGTAGACTGTGAAAAGTCCATAGCAGAGATGGTAGCGGATTAAACAAGTGTTATGAGATAATAATAAAATACCGAGATTGGTTACAGCGCTTAGAACCAAAAGGCAACAAAACTGAGGAATAAACTCGGCTCTGTTTGTGTT